CCTGATTTTTGAGTCCACTGAATATCCTGATAGATGGATTTTGTATATATATGATTATTTCCTTATTCTAAGTTTTTAGAAGTTCTGGGCAAAGGTGTGTATACATTTAAAATCAAATAACTACTATTTGTGTTGAAGTGTTAGTGCAGAAATTTATTTTATTCCTACTAACATTGTTGAAAACAGGGCAGGATTGCTAGAATATAGAAAGAAGAATCCTTTACATTTTGTATCTCATCACTTCATTTAATGTTGCCTGGTAAAGAGCTAATTTTCACTGTTTGCATCCTTTGGGCTCTTTCAGTAATTTCAGCCAATAAAAACAAGATGAATTCCTGATGAGGGATCTAAAAGATCAAGACAACCTATTCTTTAGCTACTTGCTCCACTAATAGGAATGTGTAAGAGATAATACCAGTGTCCATACAGTTTTTGGTGACAGAAAACTCTTTTCTTAAGATTCAGGATCTATACTGAGTTATGAATTCTTGCCTAGTCAAATTCCCCCTGGTTTTGGCCTTTGCATAAGTCGTTAATAATGAGATAGGCAGGGATTAATTGATTCATACATACTTTATGACAACTTGTAAAAGAGTATAATCTAGTTGATGTCTCTTTCCTGTGGGATGGAAGAGCTTGGAGGAAAGGGTGGAGATAGATTTGAGGAAGAATTTTCTGTAGCCTACATTATCTACCATGGATACATCATTATATATATGGGAGCTTCCATCTTTCAGATACACAGATATAAGCGTGATATACTACATATAGAAGGGGGATTATCTTAGAACGTAAAGTTTATGTATTAATTTGTATGAAAATGACAAATTGGCTTGGCATTTGTTAACTTAGGACCTCTGGCCACGTAGACAAATTTGCTGACTTCATGGTGAAAGATGTAAAAAATGGAGAGTGTTTTCGTGCTGACCATCTATTAAAAGGTATGGTTTTTCATCTCGGGTAAGTATTCTTCCAAGTAAAATTGATCAAAACAGAGGGTTTAGATTAAGCTTTTCTCATATTTTTTCTATTAAAATTTTTGGGGGGCATAACATACAAAGAGTAAAGTGCTCAGATCTTAACCATACAGGCTGACCTCATTTATTGCACTCTACCTTACCGTGCTGTGTGGATACTGGCAACCCGGGGCCAAGCAGGTCCGTCAGTGCTGTTCTTCCAACACTTTTACTCACTTTGTCTCTCTCACATTTTGGTAATTCTTGCAATATTTCAAACTTTTTCATTATTATTTGTTATAGTGATCAGTAATGAGGACTCACTGACAGCTCAGGTGATGGTTAGCATTTTTCAGCAATAAAATATATTTTAATTAAGGTATACTTTTTTAGATATAATGCTGTTGCATATTTAACAGAGTACAATATGAGGCAAACAATTTTTTTTATTCTTATGTTAATCCCCATACATTACATCATTAGTTTTAGATGTAGTGTTCCATGATTCATTGTTTGTGCATAACACCCAGTGCTCCATGCAATACATGCCCTCTTTAATACCCATCACCAGGCTAACCCATCCCCCCACCCCCCTCCCCTCTAGAACCCTCAGTTTGTTTCTCATAGTCTATAGTCTCTCATGGTTCGTCTCCCCCTCCAATTTCCCCCCCTTCATTTTTCCCTTCCTACTATCTTCTTTTTTTTAACATATAATGTATTATTTGTTTCAGAGGTACGGGTCTGTGATTCAACAGTCTTACACAATTCACAGCACTCACCATAGCACATACCCTCTCCAATGTCTATCACCCAGTCACCCCATCCCTCCCACCCCCCACCACTCCAGCAAACCTCAGTTTGTTTCCTGAGATTAAGAATTCCTCATATCGGTGAGGTCACATGATACATGTCTTTCTCTGTTTGACTTATTTCGCTCAACGTAATACCCTCCAGTTCCATCCACGTCGTTGCAAATGGCAAGATCTCATTCCTTTTGATGGCTGCGTAATATTCCATTGTATATATATACCACATCTTCTTTATCCATTCATCAAGATGGACATCTTGGCTCTTTCCACAGTTTGGCTATTGTGGACATTGCTGCTATAAACATCGGGGTGCACGTACCCTTTCGGATCCCTACTTTTGTATCTTTGGGGTAAATACCCAGTAGTGAGGCAAACAATTTTTATATGAACTGGGAAACCAGAAAATTTATTTGACTTGTTTTATTGCAATATTTGCTATATTGTGGTGGTTTGGAACCAAACCCACAATATCTCCAAGGTATGCCTGTACAACTTGAGTCCCTTATTTAACAAAAAGAAGTTAATATGATAATTAGAAATTCTGAGTCAGCAAAGGAATCAAGACAGTATCATGATTCTCCCTGTAAAATCAACCATGGGATTTATATAAAGTGAAAACATTATCCTTGGATTCAGTTTTTTTTTTTTTTTTTACCTCTCCAGCACTGAAACTCAAAATGCATTGTCCTTTTACCCCTTGATTGAAATTGACATGTACCAACACTGTTCTTGTAGCTCATTTACAGAAATTGATGTCTGATAAGAAGTGTTCTGCTGAGAAGAAATCAGAGATGGAAAGTGTCTTGGCTCAGGTGAGTACTTCAGAGATGTTATCACAGCTGTCTTTCTTACAGTGTTTGGTGACTGTTGAATTCCACATTGTGCCGACCCAGGCCACGATTGTAAGGAAGTAGAGTTTATCTTCTGTCTCTCTTTGAATTTTTATTTTCTTCTCTCTCTACCTTTTGTGGCTTTATTTTAACTCAAACTAGCAATTCAGTGTAAATAGGCGTGAAATTTGTTCTATCTCTTTGGAAACCAATTTTCTGGATTTAATAACAAAAACCAGAGGAGTGACTAATGATGAATAGTGTTCGGTCTTGATGTGGAGATTTTGGGGCAGATATCCTTATGAACACTGTCTCATCAGCCACTTGATCTGCTTCTGGTTGCACTATCCCTGACTATGTGCTATTACTCTTAGAACCTGATGAGCAGGCCCCTGCTTTTCTTAAAGACTAAAAGTTTTACAATTTCTATTTAAGTTGGCAAAGTTTAGGGAAGACTTAAAAGAAACCATAGAGATAATCTGTTCTGACTTTTACCAAGTGCAGGAATACCTTCTATATCAGAAATAGTTCTTACCTCTTTTTTTGGGTCACAGATCACTTTAAAAATATTACAAAAACTGTACCTCTTTCCCCCAGGAATATGCACATGTCCATGTATGTATGTTGCTGATTTCTCACCTTATGTATCCATTTAAGCAAAATACATTTCTCCTACACCATATTTGATCATGAGGTCCACCAAGGCTCACCTCTTAAATTTTATTTACTTCCTTGGGCAAAAATGTACATACACACACAGAAACCAGTGCTGTATTTATAGATATTTTCTTTATATTGGCATATAAATATGTGAGGCTGAATGTAGGAATCCCTGTCTCTTTTCATTTTCTCATGAGAATTTACTGGATACTTTTCCGCTGTTGCCTTGTTTTCTAAAAATATGCTGATTTTTCCCTGTGGTATCTTGCTTTCTAACGGTAGCTGAGAAATTTTCTCCTTCCTCATTTAAATTGAAAGAAAATCTTAATTTGGCTGTTGACTCATCTGCGAGTTTATTTTAGTCCTTGTGAGGTATATTTTATCCTTTGCTTGAAGCTCTTTGCTTTAGTATTGTTGCTCATGATTTAATAAATCAATTCTTGGATTTTGACACTGTTATAGCCAAAAATTCATTTCTCATTTCCTTTCTTTCCCAAAGGCATGACTTTTATTAGAAAGAAGAAATGAAAAGCACTTCTAATTACCCCTTAGTTACTGTTTCCCATTTAGAATGTTAGACTTACTAAGCTTTTTGGAAGTATGTGTCTTTGATCTTAACAGTTTCATTCATTTCCGAGTCAATTGTCAGAGCAGGAAGTAATTAGTTGATTCATTAAGTCATTTATAGTTTGAACCCTGACTTTCTGTCTCATATCCATGGTTTTAGAAGAGCAGTCTGTTTTTTTGTTTTTTTTTTTAAAGACTTTTTTTACTTGTTTGAGAGAGAAAATGAGAGAGAGCACATGAGAGGGGGGAGGGTCAGAGGGAGAAGCAGACTCCCTGTTGAGCAGGGAGCCCGATGTGGGACTTGATCCCGGGACTCCAGTATCATGACCTGAGCTGAAGGCAGTTGCTTAACCAACTGAGCCACCCAGGTTCCCCTGTTTTTGTTTTTTTTTTTAGAGAAGATGTGTGCACGTGCTTGTGAGGGGAGGGGCAGAGGGAGAGGGAGAAAGAGAATCTTAAGCAGGCTCCACTCCCAACGTGGAGCCCAATGCAGGAGCCCAAAACAAGGTTCTATCTCACGACCCTAAGATCATGACCTGAGCCGAAATCAAGAGTTGGATGCTTAACCAACTGAACCACCCAGGCACGCCAGAGAGCAGTCTGTTTTTCTGATTTGCCATATCAGATCTACGTACAAACTGTCAATGTAACTTTCAGTGAAAAGTTGGGGACTGTGTGGTCTAATACTCAGAAATGGTCCTGGTGGATTCATGGCCAAAGGCCCATCTGTTTGCTTGAGCAAATAATAGCATTTTCTCCACCTGTTAGTGCTTGTGACTCCTTTTCAGCTTTATTTTAGCATGATAGTTTCTTTAAAAGGCACTGATTCACCCTCTGTGGTAGGCAGAGCTTTATTCCTGTTGTGGATTCAGCAGCTCAGAACTGTTTTTCTTTGTCCATTTTTGCTGACCCACCTCTGCATGTACCAGTTTTTAAGTCATTTTTTAATTTTTTGTTATGAAGAATTCAAAACATATGCAAATAGAAAATAGTATAATAAATACTTATGTACCCATGAACCTGCTACAATGTTACCAAATTTTGTTGAATCCATTCCCTGCTTTCCTGCCTTCTTCTCCAGAATTATTTTGAAGTACATCTAAAACATCATTTTATTACATTGTCTTAAATGTTAACCAGTTTTTTTTTTGTTTGAATTGGGATCCAGATAAAGTCCATACTTTGTGAGTGGTTGATACATTTCTTAAGTCTCTTTCAATCTTCAGGGTCTTTATCTCTAATTTTCCTTGTATTTTCATTAAAGTTGAGACACTTGTTTCTTAGTGCTTTCTACTATCTGGATTTGGCTGATTGCATTATTTTGGTGATATTTCACATGTTCCTCTGTTTCTGTATTATAATTTGGTAGTCCGACCTTGAGGCCTAGTCGGATATTTTGGCAAGACACTTAGTAAGTGGTGTAGCGGTTGCTGTGTGCCAAGCCCTGTGCTAAGTACTTTACATAGTTAATCTTCATAGTAGCCCTTCATAGTGAAGTAGATGCTGCTTCCTTATTTCACAGATAAGCAAATTGAGGCCCAGAGAGGTTAGATAAGAACTTCTCTTGAGTCACACAAGCCGTACGTGGTAGAATTGGGTGGTTGGTTTACCCAGGTTTTTCTGACTCCAGAGCCTCGGTTCTTACGGTCATGAGTTGATTTATGTAATTATTTTGCTTCTATTAGGAGTTTTTTTTTTTTTTTTTAAGTTTTGAATATTCTTCAGTATTAGATGGTTTGTCATAGTCATTTGAAATTTTCAAGTTGGAGGTCATACATTTTAGAGGGTTTCATGTTGGTTATCAATGTATAAAATGTGCAATACACTGGAACATGCAGACATGAATAAGAAACAGTTTCTACCTTCAAGAGCTTAATATCTAGTGGGAAAGAAAAGTTTTATGCACATTTAATTAATAGACAGGGAAGTATACCTGACTCTTAAATATGCAGAGCGGTAAAATGCAACTTCAAAAACTTATTTGTGGGACGCCTGGGTGGCTCAGTCGGTTGAGTGTCTTTGGCTCAGGTCATGATCTCAGGGTCCTGGGATCGAGTTCCGCATTGGGCTCCCTGCTCATTGGGGAGTCTGCTTCTCCCTCTGTGCTCCCCCCGCCCCGCTTGTGCTCTGTATCTCTCTCTGACAAATAAAATCTTAAAAAAAAAAAACTTATTTATATGATTTCAGATTCTTGCCAATCAGTAACTATTATAGTTGAACCAGAGATCTTTTTCTTTATGTTTCCTTGTGAAATGGTGAATGTATGAGTTTTAGGTCAGTCCCAGAAAGATACTCCAGTTTTCTGGAATGGTAAATGGTAAATTGATAAATGGAAAGTGAACTGGTTATGATTTTAATTTGGGTTTTTGAAGGTTAGAGTAACTTTGATGTTCTTATTTTGGGTGATTTTTAATGATGGATGGGTTTTATATATATAATACTTTTATGCCCTGTTTTTTTTCTGAGTCTTTTACATTAATTATTTTCTTTACCTATCCTTTAGCTTGATAACTATGGACAGCAGGAACTTGGGGATCTTTTTGTGAACTATAATGTAAAATCCCCCATGACTGGAAATGATCTCTCCCCTCCAGTATCTTTTAACTTAATGTTCAAGACCTTCATTGGGCCTGGAGGAAACATGCCTGGGTATGTATCACTTATTCTTTATGTAATGAAGTTACTGAAGTTGTCGTAATAAAAAGTAAACATCAAATCAGCCATGAAGGAAAATTTTCGAAAAATGATATGTAGAAAGTACAGATAAATATTTTAAGTAGAAATAATAAGAGACATATTCTTAAATTTATTCCTTCTCAGTCTTTCTGAATGTATTTTTTTTAGTGTATATTATTATTATTTTTTTTTTTGCCACAAAATAAACAGAAGTCTGATCATCATATCTCGTGGTGATAGCTGTGTAGGGCAGGAGAGGTAGTTGAAGAATGATTTTGAAAGTCATTGAACTTATTGCTGAAGGAGACTTAGAAACCATTTAGTCTAGATCAACACTGTCCAGTAGAACTTTCTGCAGTGGTATAAATGTTCTATAATCTGTGTTGTCCAATATGGTAGCCACTAACCACATGTGGCTACTGAGCACTTGAAATGGTGTTAGTGCTTCTGAGGTACTGAACTTTAAAATGTATTTAATTTTAATTAATTTAAATTTAGGCATTTGACTACTAGCCTACCATACTGAACAACATAGGTTTAGCTTGTTATTTAAAAGATGTGGTTTTCATAGTAAAGAAAGCTGAACAGTTACAATATGATCCAGAACTAGAATTTGTATTTACAGATTCCTTCTCAATGTTAACAAACTTAGCCAAAGTATTCTTCATAACTTCAAATATTTTTCTTACGGTCTCATTGTAAGGTAATTGAGGGTAGGCTTTTGTAAGATGAAGCTAGATAGATCATGTCTCCTGGAACAGAAACTAAAGAATAGTAAAAATGAATTGTGACAGAATGTATGAGTGGAATTATTTTAGTCACACACTGTGTTGACTTGGGATATTTTATGGAAAGAGGCCAAAGGTAAGTCTTTCATTTTGGCAGTACATACAGAGAGTCATTGAATGGGCCAGACCCTCTGACCTGTCATCCCACTCCTGGGAATTTATCTGAGAAAATAATTCAAAAGGAAAGGAAGCTATATTTATCAAGAGTATATAAATTAAAAGTAGAAATAACCTATTTATCCAAAAATTTGAGATGATTAAATTATAATAGATTATTTTAGAATACTCTGCAGCTGTCAAATATGAGAAATTATTATGATTATTTAGAAAATGGAAAAATAAAGGATACATAATTTTACACATATAAATCATGCACATAGGAGTACCTGGCTGGCTCAGTCAGTGGAGCACGCGACTCTTGATGTTGGGGTCATGAGTTCAAGCCCCACGTTGGGCGTAGAGTCTACTTAAAAATAAATAAAAAATGAAATTTAAAAGTCTTACAGCTTTTTTAAAAAATGCATGTAAAACTGTAGTTACACTTCTTTTGGATGAAATCTGGAAAGGACCCCCAGAATGAGGAGTTGGTGTGTTAGAGTGAGAAGAGGGTACAATTGTATTTTATTTTTTCTTTGTTTTAAAGTTTTCTTCATAAACTATTTATTTTGAAGTAGGCTGCTGGGAAAGCTTTCTTAGTTGATGTTTTTGCAAAGAATATTTTCTGTAAAATTGAGAAGAGGACAGTGGCTATCATGGGGTATTTGCTTGGCCATATCTTAAAAATATGGAGAAAAAGAGAAGAAGCTTCTGGCTGGAAATGTAGAATACCACAAAGGAGAAAATGATAGGAAAAACCTTGAAATTTGCCTGGCCTAGTGTGTTGATTGTGATGAGTGAGCTCAAATGCTGAGTGTGAGCCCATACTGGCTTCTTTGTAGCCACATAATTACACTCTAATATGTGAGTTAGTGGGCATATACTTAGGCAGGGTCTTATTTTCAGAAGGATCTGAATTGTTGTCTGCCTCCTTGTTAAATGATTAATCAGGTTTTAGGGACATTAAGAGAGAGGTGGTATTTGACTCACTGGACTGATGAAATAAAATGACATTTCTAATAGTAGTATTGCCATACCAGTTGCTTGACACGTTCTCTAACACTTGCTTGAGAATGTTTGGTACCAAGGAAAATGTTTATTCCTCCTATTCCTTTGCTTTAGAGCATATATGTACTGCTTTGTGTGAAAATAGTATATTTCGGACTTTTAGGATTTATATCTTTCAGATTTTTGGAAAACTTAATTTCTTTCCTTCTAACAGACTGATTTATTTAAATTTATAGGTACTTGAGACCAGAAACTGCACAGGGGATTTTCCTGAATTTCAAGAGACTTTTGGAATTCAACCAAGGAAAGTTGCCTTTTGCTGCTGCCCAGATCGGAAATTCTTTCAGAAATGAGATCTCCCCTAGATCTGGACTGATCAGAGTCAGGTACTGCCCATATTATTCTTCCAGTAAAATTTGTGAATGATCTCGGCTTTGAATGGGAAAGGGAAGCTTGCTATGTTGAGACAATTCTGTTTCATTCTTACATGACCATATCTTTATTTTTGTCCTCCAAAAGATGATGCTTTATGTTTGTAATCTCTGGGACATCAGGTAGTTGTGAGTAACTAATGAGAACTTGAAGGGAAAGGAAGGAAGGAAGGAAGGTGAAGAATAGATCACGTTTCTCACCTGCTCCAAAATGATCTTTCTCCCTTGTTATATGTTTAGAGGATGGCAGGATCCTGATTGTCTAAACCAAGGCATTTTCTGGCAGTGGTGATATGTGTAAGTGTAGAGTGAGGTGGGCCAGGGTGACAGGAGGGGAGTGTCATGCTGGGTGTCCAGGGCAAACAGCAGTGCTGGAGTTGGGCCGGGGGTGTTTCTGTAACCAGTTGACATTCCTCCAGACATTTGAGGCGCCTATATGACAGGCCAGCTAGTAGGCTTGCTTCTGTCTACTTTAGTCTGCTCACTTGTCTCTATTCTAATAATCTCCCTTTGCCAGATATCTCCAGGAATGTGTGGGAGGTCATATTAGCACTTAGTTATAGTTTTCTTTAGAAACTTACTGTGATTTAGCTGCTTTTGACTTGAGTTTTTTGTGATTTCTATGTATTTTCTTACTGATATCATCTCTTGGTGAAATAAATTCCATATAAAAAATAAGATATGTAGGTAAACTTAGCTATCTTAGACTCCAGAAGGATTTTCCACAGCCCCACCACCCCACCCATCTCTCTTTTCTTACTCACTATAATTACAGACTTCAGTCATAGCATATCCCAGCCACTGACTCTACATCATAGCACCCAAAGCACCTGCCTAATCTTGTTAGTCTCCATGACACCCACTGAGGAAATGCCCCTATGTATTGACCAAACTGTTTCTTCAGGCCTGTGATTGGTTCAGCCTTCTGGTCAAGAAAGGGGGGACTGCACAGAGGAAGGGGCTTGCACAACTTAGAGAAATGGGGTGGGAGGGATTCCCTTGGGCCTTTGTGCGGAAAGAAGAGGTGGTCAGAAACTTTAACCAGCTATAATAACAATGAAAAACTTGTCAGGCTTGAGTCTGTTTTACTTCCTGGTGTCTGGGTTTTTCTGTCTCTCTTTTTCTTTTGTTTTTTGGCTTTCCATCTGTTCCAGTAGTGTCTTCAAGCATGCTTTCAAAATACTGAGAAAGCCTGGTAAGACTGACTTTGTCTAAAGCCAGTGTTTTGGAGAGGATATATATAACATAGAGTAGCTCTTGGAAGTTATAAAAGGACCACGAAGTAAGGCAAAACCTGGGGCTTGTGGAATAGAAAGTGGTAAGTCGAAAAAGCAGCTCAGAACTAAGGAGTGATCCTAGGAGTTAACTGGTAAAAGGTCCGTGGGGCTTCCCTGGATATTTTTTATTTTGGTCATTTTCCACTTTAAAGCATCTTGTCTGGATTCTGGCTGGTTTTTGTTCTATGCATCGCTAAGATCCTGACTAGAAGTCTGTTCGTTCTTCCATGAGCCAGTATCCCCATGGTTTTTGTTCCATGGATAGGGCTAGGATTTGTTTAGTGTTGTGATTTATAGAGTTATCAGGTGATTAGTCTTTGCATGGCTGTGATTTCTTTTATTTAGGTTGGGAGTATTAGACTGTTCATATGTAATTTTTAAAAGTTTATTTTTATTTTGATTGGCTGGTTCTGTCTTCTAGACTACATGTATTGTAGTTCTCCATGGTTCAGGTACAGCATCTGAACTCAAAGACAGGAGACCACTGGTAGAATCACTGTTAGAGTTGATTTCCATCTCCTGTCTATGAGCTGGGATTATTTGACAGAACAAATGGAAAGGCTTTGGCAGCAGATTATTTTGGGATTCTAGGCAGGGCCCTTATTTTGATATGCTTTGCATTTTAGATGTTCTCTTGCTATCCGCCACACTATAAGATATGTGAGGACAGACATTGTGCTTCTTTGTCTCTGTCCTATTTCTGTGCACACAGAAGACATTTGATAGTGGTTGAAAGACAAGATATAGGTGCTATAGGACCAAGTAAGAAATAGTATTAAAAAATAAAGTTTAAAAATTAGAGCTCTTTTGCCATGCATTTCATGTATTTTTAGGTCTCATTTAAGCAATTTTTCATTGCTTTTAAAAAAATCTGAAATCATCATGAAAGTGCACTAGTAAATGTGTGTGGGGGAGTGTGTTTAAAGGAGAGAGATTTGATTTTGACTCATAAAATTAACTTAAAACACTTTTCCCCCAATAGCTACTTAATTGCCATTCAGAGAAATCTCTTTGGGAAAGCATTACTATATGCATATTTATTTCATCATTATGCAGTTAGCTTGATGCTGGCCTGTTCAATTCATGTCTTATGTCCTCTGCCTTGAATAACACTTTATTTGAGAAGCTATTACTCTAAAAAAGCCAGCTGTATGGTGCCATTATCAGTCATTTACTTGTTCAGAGCAATAAAAAGGAAGAAACCAAACTACTATAAAAGCTAAAGAACAATTTCACTTCACTTTTAATTTCCCATTCTTGGAAAAGGAAATATCGGGAACTTCATTTAGTATATATTTATAAAGACTTGCTAGTGCTATAAGGAAAATCATTTTATTTGGAAGTCACTATTCAGTATCTCATTTCTTTTTTGTGTCTGACATTTGCTTAAGTTTTCCTAATATTAAAAACTATCTGTTCTTTAAAAATTATTTTCCATTGAAAGTAACAATCTTTTGTTGTTGTGGCTAGTATGGAAGGAAAAACAGATGGACAGTAGTTAAGGTGGTAGAAACAGATTTTATTCAAGACTGTTGCAGTAGAGGAGGGCGCCTGGGTGGCTCAGTTGTTAAGCGTCTGCCTTCGGTTCAGGTCATGATCCCAGGGTCCTGGGATCGAGCCCCACATCAGGCTCCCTGCTCTGCGGGAAGCCTGCTTCT